ATCCTCTCACCTCAGCTTCCTGAGTAGCTTGGACAACAGGCACGCACTACCAAGCCTGGCTAATTTTATTTTTATGTTTTTTGTAGAACTGAAGTCTTGCTATGTTGCCCAGGCAGGTCTCGAACTCATAGCCTCAAGTGATACTTCTGCCTCAGCCCCAAAGTGCTAGGATTACAGGCATGAACCACTACAAACAGCCAGAATTATCTAGATAATTTTTAATATATTTATTATCATCAATTAGCCGGATAACCACTACCACCATTTATTTTTCCAGCCCAGTTTTTTTAAAGATTATACAAGAAAAAGCATATCACTAATTGTGCCATATAAAAGTGTTACAACAATGTACAAGTATTGATATGTGCTAACCTTATGAAATTTAAGAAGTATAAAGCCGCATATCACCAAATAGTATGATTCTCAGTAACCTAAGTTTTGAAATAAAGATTAAAATATCTACATAAGATAATCAACATATATGCCTACAGGCCTAATGCCGACATTCAGACAATGCCAAAGGTATCAATCTTTACATCATTACATGTTGTGGTAATATGTATTAGTATATGAAGATAGGTTTTGATGTAAAAGTGCCAATTAAGACAGTATGCTAAACTCCATAAAAATAAGACTATTATATGCTTCAATGCATACATAATTAAAATTTTTTTCTTTAAATAAAAGTTCTAATGAGTTCACATTCTTAGTGATAATAATCTCATGCTGCAAACAGCACAGCACCCTCTGGTGCATCTGTTATAAGAAATAAAATTCCCACAGAAAAGGACAGAATTATAGAGGAAAAATGAACCTTAGAAGTCAATATTGCAATAGTTTTTAATTTACTGTAGTACATATTTTTGAACATTAATGCTTAAAAATATTTATCATTTTAAAAGATCACTATAAACTTTATAGCAGTAATTTAAGTAGGTCAAGAAAATGTCTTAGTTTGAAAAACAAAAACAACACCTATTTCCAATATATAAATAATGCTGTCAAAAAAATATTTCAGTGTAGGATGACAGAAGGTAACTTGTCATGTTAACTAAATTTCACTTTATTCAAATAGGCCTTGAGGTTTGTAAAATGTTCCTGTGTACTTTTTCTGGATTCAAAGGGAATTTGCCATTATTTTTAAGAATTGATAAGTGTTTTGTGAAAGAATCTGCAAGTTCTACAATTTAAAAACAATGATATTCAGAAATAAAAGTTATATTAAATTACAGATCTTGAGTAGTTCAAAACTTTTACTTATTAAAAAAAAATACCCTTTTCCTAGGAAAATAATTAACTCTAAAGCAGATTTTACTAACAACAAAAGCAAAATATGCCACCTGCTTTAGACAGCCCTTTTGTGAACCACTGGAAGTCCCAACACAATGCAGTAAAAAATGAAAGTGACACCTGTTTGAAGCAGCCATCTGTCCCTAACAAGCTAGATTTAGTCAAATCCACTTAATCTTGGATTTCCAAAATATGGGAACACTATGTAACTGCGAATAAAGAGGAATTTAAAACACACTTTGTGATCGCCACTGGGAATATATACCAAAGAGTTAAAGGCAAATTACTCAGTTAGGAAAACTGTTTTTAAAGCAACTAAGGGCAAATAGAGGATTTTTAGCCATTCAGCATAAAATAACCAGCAGGCTCTCCAAAATGTTAAAGTTTACTTCTTCCCTTTTCTAATTTCTTGTAACACATTCTTACTATGGATACTAAGAACAAAGTAACATTCCTATTACTGATCAGATCAGGAAAAGAGTGTGTGAGTGTGTGTGTGTGTGTGTCTGTGTGTATGTTTAACTCTTACCACACATCTGCTGCTGTGTGTGTGTGTGTGTGTGTGTGTGTGTGTGTGTGTGTGTGTGTGTGTGTGTATGACTCTTACCACACATCTGCTGCTATACCCACCCATTTAAACAAACACATAGACACACTTTAAAATCTGAAAAGCCAAAATCATTATATTCTACCTGCTAATTTCTTCAGCTGGAGAATACCAACACAATATCAACTTTCACAAGAAATGAAAAACGTTACCAAAAAGTAACATATGTAATCATTTAAACTATGCATAAAATTTAACTTGATTTTAAGATTCATTTATTTTTTACTACTTTTAATGGTAAAAAAAAAAATTTTACTACAATAAATTTGTTTCCAGTAAAATAAATTGTTCTAGGTTAAAGCATGTTAAGCTTATACACTGTAACCTTTTATTTAAGTACCAAAGTAAAGTAGAAAAGTACTTGAATACTGGAAGAATAATACAGTACTTGAAAAACTAAGCATCACTACAACATTTAGGGATGCAAAACTTGTAGAAATTTATTAGTTTGCCATATATGTATATATGTATGATGGCTAGACCATTTAATATAATTCATAGGCAAAATAAACCAAAAAGACTGAGTTAGGCATTATGACATACATTGAATCACAGATCTTTAAGTATTCAAAACAAGTTACAAGTCACTTGTATTTAATAGCTTTAGTTTCAAAGCATGATCACGTTTACAAATTTCTTTTAGTATAAAAACTGAAAACACAAGAGATATTGATACGTAATTTAGACCCTTCCGAGAAAAATATTACAGAAAGAATAAAGTAAATGCTAAGTATCTATCCTTGTGTTTAATTTTTAAATTTACCATTTCTTAGCCTTTCTGATTATTTAATCGATTCCACAGCAGCTGTAACAGCAATTTTATCCCACATATATGCTTCAAAAAAAATGGAAAAGTAATGAAATTCCATTTAAGTTCTGCTCTCAAATCAACTTGTGAATGAAAATCTAAATCACAGAAAACCTGAGCTATACGAGTGAAATGCCTCAAAAAAAGTTCTCAGACACTGCAAATAAAATATTAAACCATAACATTATAGCATATAATTTACTTAACTGAAAATCTATTATGTAAATGGCATAAGGTCTGAAACTGTCCCAAGATAGCAAAACTCCTATTAACTTCAGAGAGAGTTTATAGGACCCAGGAGCTTCACCATCCAAAAGTGTTCAGGCATTTGACACTCATCTGAACAGAAAAAAAAATACAAGTTAGTATAATAGATTTGCATGGAACCCAGTTTGGGGAGGGGAGGAATAATTATAAAGAAATGTGAGTGCTCTGAGAAAGACTTCAGAACAAAATATCGCCTTCATTAAAAATAGCAATCATAAGAAAATGAATTGAAAAAGATTTTTTTAAACCTCAACTCTTATTTTACAAATATTAGGCTTAAGAGCATTATAATTACCCACCCTGCTCATTGACAATCTCAAGAATAATTAGTACTGTCACATTATTCACAAGCTGCTCTGTCAGTTAAATCAATATATGTTTGCTGTTAGAAAGAAGACTAAGTATTTTAAAATCGTAAATTAAAAACATCAATATGTGCAACCATAATAGTACATTATATTTGTTTTAGCACATATTCATTATCAAAACTCTTTACTGATAATTTATTAACTAAAAGTTAAGCTGAAAAAAATGAACAAATTTAGGGGATCTGAAAAACTGGCTAACGCTAACCAAGAACCTACTACATAAGAACTAATAAGTATTCAAATTACAGAGAAAAATAAATTTCAAAAGAAATAGTGAGAAGAGAAAACGTTCTTTCTCCTGAGCAGGTTCAAGTCACTGTCCAAAGAAAATCAAAAAGTAAATAAAAAGAATATGTAAAGTACACACATGCCTAGATCTTAACCGCAAAGAAAGTGAAATATACACACGTTTCAAGTTGAGAAGCTTCATACATTCTTTATGAACTTGACTTCAATTTCAACTCTCAAAGGAAAATGAACAGAGAAGATTAAAAAAAAAAAAACTCTTAAAGTAACATAACTGTCACAAATAACATTGTGAACTGAGTTCTCACAAAGCTTCCTTGTGTCCTTTCCCTGTTCATCACAAAGTCTCACAACCACAATGAAAATTGTTAACACTCTACTGCGGGGAGGGAGGGTCATCAAAGTGAAACGGAACCTCACTACTACCCCTCCCACCTCCACATGAAGGATAAAGCACTGTCAATAACTACTAACCCAAGTATCACAGATGCCCTGCATCCGGTTTAAATCACAAGCGCGCACACACGCGCACACACACACACACACACACACCAAAAAAGAGAGAGGAGACACTTTAAAAAAGAAAAATCTCTTCCCCATTACAGCAAAGAGAGCTCAGCGAAGAGGCTCCAGGTTTCAATGTGTGTGCAAGGGGTGTTGGGGGGAGAAGAAAGAGGGGGAGGGAAGAGTGCTGAATGGATATTAAGACTGTTTGCCGCACAAAGAAAATACAGTTTTAAAAAGAAAAAAGAAAACCGTGAAGCTGATGATGGTGAAAGAAGAGCAGCCCATTTAGCACCAGGCAAAGAGGGGCAAAAATGAAGGGAATAGGCGGTGGGAAAAGTTCATCAACGTACGAGGATAAAAATAACAAAACCCCTAACAAGGCCCCACAAGTGAACAACAACAACAACAAAACAGCACCTCTTGGGTCCCCCCCGCACATTGTTGTCTATTTCGGCTTTGAAAGAAGCAGGAAACAAGCAGCGTTGGAAAAGAAGAAAATTAAAGAAAGAACAAATTCTTATCTCTTCACCTGACCCTCCTCCTCAGACCAGACCTAAGGGAAAGATCCAGCATCCGCATCGGAAAACTGTGGCTCCCTTTCCCGCTCGGCTCGCAGCCCCCCGAGCTCCCGCTCCATCCCTGAAGTGCGGCCGGTGCAGGGCCGGGGCCGGCGGGCGGCGCGGCGCCCACACCCCCGACCCAGCCGCGGCGCGCAGGGTCCATTGTAAACAAGCCCGGGGAACAGAGCCCCTCGGCGGCGGCGCGGCAGCGGCAGCCCCCGTGTCAGGAGTGAGACCCCTGCACAGCCACACTCGGCTTGCACACACGAACACACACACACACGGACACACGCGTTCACACGCAGCCACACGCTCCCACACACATGTAGAGACCGAAGAATATTCACCTTGGCTGTGGATTATTGTGGTGTTGTTGGTGGGTGATGGAGATGGTGGTGGTGGGGAGGAGGAGGAGGAGGAAGAGGAGGAGGAGGAGGAGGAGGAGAGGAGTAGTTGTTGTTGATGGGTAACAGTCGCCAGGACTACGGTGACTATGGCGCTTGATTCACAAGGCAACGGTTGCTATAACTCACAAAAGAGAGAGAGAGGGAGAGAGAGAGAGAGAGAGAGAGCGAGAGGGAGAGGGAGACACTCGCACGGGGAGGGGTGGGGGAGGGAAGAGGGGAGGAGGCGGGCCCGGCCGAGCCGCCGGAAGGGGAGGGCTCAGCGCTGTGACTGACGGCCCCCGAACGGGCGGGGTGAAGGAGCACAAGATCGGGATTCCAACGCAGGACTCCGAAAAGGTTTGCCTAGGCTTGGCTGGGGCTGAGGGCACAGAGTCCTCTCGGAGGAACGTTACTACACGCGCTGGCGAAGCCCAGGAGAGTTTAGGGTCTTGGTACTAGGGGTACTGTCTGTGAAACGAGAGCTGTCTGTCCCAGCAACCAGCTTTGTGCACAGATGTCCCGAAGCCACCAGAGAGTAACGGCTAACTCGGGGGAGGGGGTGGCGAGGATGATTCCAGGCACTTTGTGGAGAGACCAGCTATGGCGAAGGAAGAATCCACCTTGAAGAACAGCCCCCGCCCGATACGTTACTTCCGGGGCGGGGCGGGGCGGGGCGGGCAGAGGGGCCCGGATGTGCCGCCGCTTTTTCGTTTCTGAGGCGCCGGCGGTCTTCCTGATCGCGTCCGCCTTTTAGCTTTCAGCTTTTCCAAGCGCTTCAGGGCTCCTTGGCCTGCGCTGGACTGGAGGGCCTGCGTCACTCTTGTCCTCCTGCCTTCCGCGCTTTGAGCCGCTCCCGCCTCCTGAGGGCACGACTTTGAGGAGCGCGGGCGGCGGGGCGTTAGCGATCTGCCTCTGCCGCCATCTTAAAGAAGGCGAGCGTGGGGTGCGCGTGGGCAGCGAGCCGGCCTCTCGCGGTCCCTGCCGCAGCGTGGCGCGGAGAGGTGAGGTCGAAGAGGGTCCGGCCCTCACTTCAGAACGAAAAGGCGAGGTCATCACTTCCTACCTTAAGGGCTGGGAGTAAGTGCCAGTAAAGAGCAAGAAATTGCCCTCCCCGGAGGCTGTGAATACGCTTTTGGCAGTTCCCCTCGACGGATGGCGTAGAGGGGCGGGGTGACTTACACCTGCCTGCGATACCGTCCCGTTAGTTTCTAGTTTTCTGTTAGTTTCAGACCTTAAGTGCTCATTTCTCTTTATAGTCGACCTAAGTGGGACTTGAGTTCAGGCCGGGTTCCTGTTACCTGCCTTGCCCTCACGCCCCGTTACTCAGCCTACTGTAGTAGAGGGTCTGCCTGTTTCCGGCTGAATTGAGATAGACGAATAGCTTCCGTCTGTGTTGAATGTCGTTAACACAACCTGCCATCTCCAACACCCGTTGATAACGCACAACCTCTAATGCCTCATGTTTCAAACGGACTCCTCCAATTCGCTGCAGACAAGTCCAGCAGGCACATGCCCCCAGGCCCTACGGATACCTAAAGTCTCTCAACATTTGCCACTAATCTGCTTATCCAAGACAATAACATAGAAATAGAGCCTTAGGAAGTTAGCTCTCCTCTTGAGGCTTAATTTTTGCACCTGCAAGTAAGAGATTTGGGCCGGCATGGGTTCACTAGCGCTAAAAGAATACTGAGCTCTTATTCTGTGTCCCAGAACTGTTGCTAAGTGTTTTACATACATTATCTCATGTAATCCCAACACACCAGAGTTGGATAGGTAATTTTCACATTTTAGAAAAAACAGTCCTAAAAGTCGGTGGTTTTAGGTTATGGCTGGGTGCCAGCGAATCCAAGGTTACCGTGTTTTAGAAACCAGTTACTTTGGGTACATTTATAAAAGTCATATTGTTGCCTTTGATAATCTCAGGAGTTACGTATGTGTTGCAGTAATGTGTTGCAATAATGTGTTGCAGTAGTGAACAGTGGTGAGCCTAGTGCTAAAGCCAAAAGATTTCCTAACTCACTGTCGTGGTAAGACCTTCTAGTCAGACAAATGACTGATGACCAAGGTGGTTCCCGTTTGACATACAGATGGGAAATGAGGTATGCTTTCCAGCTTTATGAAAACTGGTAGTCATTGTGAATATTCACTTCATTACAGATAAAGGCATCATTCCTATAATGGTGTGTAGGGTTGTGTGCTCACACTACATGGCTCTCTGAATAGCTTTGTTTTTTAAGTTCTATTGTTAATAGTTTGTCCCTTCTTTGTCAGCTGTTGCTTTACACTGTTGTCAGTGAGCATTGGTCTGTTATCCTCCACGCCCTTTTAATTTACTGCTCTTAATCTGCAGGCAAGAAAACCACGTAGTGAAGCTTGTGGAAAACTCTATCTCAAGAATATAAATAGGTACTCTGAGGGACTATCAAAAAAAAAAAGTGCAACCTTTGCGCTGGGATATTATAACATCAGTTTTAAAGTTTTAAGCTTAAAGACGTTTTTTTTCTTTTTTTTTTTTTTTTTTTTTTTGGCCTACACTTACAGATTTGATTTTTTTCCAGAGTTAGGAATACACAAATTTCCTGAAGTTAATTCTTCAAAATTTAGAATTTGGAGTATTTTTCCCATGTTTTAGGATACTTGATGATGATACGATTCTAACTATATTGAGGTTAATATTTGAAATGTTCGATGTTACTGCCTGATAATGTTTGGCTTTGTGTCCCCACCCAAATCTCATGTCAAACCATAATCCATAAGTGTTGAAGGAGGGGCCCTGTGGGAAGTGATTGGATTACAGGGGCAGTTTCTAATGGTTTAGCACCCTCTCGCTAGTGCTGTTTCATGAGTGAGTTCTGACGAGATGTGGTTATTGAAAAGTATTTTGCACCACTCCTCTCTCACTGCCACCATGTGAAGAAAGTCCTATCCTTCACCTTCTGCAGTGATGGTAAGTTTCCCTGTGGCCTCCCAGTCATGCTTCCTGTTAAGCCTGCAGAACTGTAGAGTCAGTGAAACCTCTTTTCTTCGTAAATTACCCAGTCTCAGGTAGCTCTTTATAGCAGTGTGAAAACATATGAATACATCACCACACTGAATCAAATTACCAAGATACCGATTAAAGCTGTAGACTCGAAAATAACGATTTTATAGGCATGTATTATTTAATACCGTAATTAGTTATAAAAGAACCCAGAAACCTTTGTACCCATAGTCAGTTCTTGCAGGATGTTTTTAAAGTCATTTTTTAAAGCCGCACATCTTCACATATATTGCATGTATCTTTCAGAAATAAATTATTTGCTAAGAAGTCACAGAAAAGACCCAGTATTAGACCACAGTATCAGTTGCCACCTGTTATAGGGCAAAACACACTGTGGGACCAATAATAAAAGGTACATAACCAAACTAAAATGGGGCAAACATAGTTCCTGACTGTAAAATGTTCAACATTATTAATTTAAAATGTTGTGTTTTAACTTGGATTGTTTTTTCTCTCAGATAAGAATGATTGGCAGAGACATGGAAAAACACATTTGTATCAGAACTACTTGAAGAAAAATGTGAAGCTCTGATTATGTATGGATTATGTATTTAATAAAAACAAATTGTGATAACATTCATAAAGTGGAATACTATTGAGCAAGTCAAAGGAAAGGACTGCTGATACAACACGGATCAATCTCAAAAACATTGCATTTGGTAAAAGAAGCCAGAACAGAGTACATAGCATATAAATCCATTTATAAAAATTTAAGAATAGGAAAAAGTAATCTATGCTTAGTGTCTTATGGTGGCAGAGGCAGTAGGTTGGGATTTTAGTGGAAAGGATCATGAGGGAACATGATAGGATGGCAAAAATGTTCTGTACTAATCACATGTAGCTATTAAAATCTAACAAAACTTAAAATTCAGTTCCATAGTCACACTAGCTACATTTTAAGTGTTCAATAGCCACATGTGGCTACTGCCTACTAAGTTAGACAGTGCAAATACAGAACATTTCTATTATCTCAGAAGTTCTACTAGAGTTCTAGTCTAGATCTTGTTTTGGGCAGGTGTTTACATTTTTCAGAATTGGAATTAATGCATATTATATATGTATTATATGCCAGTAACACCTGCCCCCAAGCCCTATAAATAATTAATAGAATTTTTATTACTATATTATCTACCTAATTAGCCTAGTTTTTTCTTAATACTTTTGTGCAACCCTGCAGAGAAAGGATAAATAGTAAAATTCTTGGCAAATTTTCAAATATGTTAAGTGTGACATACAGTAGATAGCATTGATTTTCTGCTCAAAAAAATGAGTTCTGCTACTTTATAATTGTGAATGCATCTAGAAAGAAGGAATTTTTTTTGAGGGCTTAAAGTGAACTCTAGATGACTACAGAGAAATTTTTTCTTTTGGAATCAAGTATCTTAAACATAGTAGAGATCGTGTAACCTTCTAAGGTAACACGAGTGTTTGGGAGATACTGGTGCTAACTCTATGACTAGGTTTAGAAAGTTAAATCAGCTCCCTAGGTAACACTTCAGACAAGCCTTTTGGAGGTAGAAGAAAACTAAGTTTTTAAGTCAAGGATAAAAACACCTGAACTCAATTCTAAAATTCTGATATTAATGGATTTTAAGAGATGGAATACCAGGTGAATTGATTCAAAATATTATATATGTTCATATAGTACTTCAGTGAAATTAAGAAAAATTTTTGGTAGAATAAGTACTATAATAATGTTAATAAATATTTCTACTAGCATTTTTTAAGACCTTTGTGAACCCCAAGTAGATTTTTACAAGAAAATGAACTTGGACTGTTAAAGATTAATTCTTACAAATGAGTCATCAATTCATGTCAATAATATATGCTGAAAAGCATTTTATTCACTTAATTATTGTCAGTTATATATCAAAAATGATTTTATATGATCCAAATTCTTTAACTGCCAAATATTGTTTTCTCTCCTCTCTCTCTTTCTCCCTCTCTTCCCCCCTCCCCTCCCTCTCTCCCTTTCCCTTCCTCCCTTCCTCTACCTTTTTTTCCTTCTTCTAATGTAATAGGTAGTCTGGAGAAAACATCTCCCAAGTTCCTGTTGGGCCATTCATCCTATTGGAAGTATACTAATAGTATCTTCTCATTGGAACATGTCATATATCTCACCTGCCCCCCCACACTAGCATCACAATAAGGATATATAAAACCTTCATTTAAATTGTTTTGAA